AAGGAAGGCAACCACTTTAGATGCTTAAAAAAATCAATTTTCTTTTTATTTCATAAATCGTTAGGAGAATATCTTAAGAATACACCCTGAAAATTTCAGAACGAGATTCGGATTCCTTCTAACGGTATGTATATAAATGATGAAGACTCTCCGCTCAAATGAATCAGATGCGCGTGGCTCGGCAAAATAGAAAAAATTCATTAGAGGCAAAAGAAGCTCGAAAAGCTCGTAAAGTGGAAATACAAGCTTCAAATGAGTTGCATGAGGAAGAATTAATCGCTGATTAATCGGTAAGACACTTTATCATTTGATTAAACACATTTAACTTTGAGTTTTTCGTTCGTGAAACTTTAAACGTGTTTTTCTCGAAACGACATTTTTTCAATTTGCTGGCATCATAACTCGAAAACTAATTGATGGATCAACTTCAAATTTGGAACACGTTTACATAATGTAATTTATTAAAAAATGAACCTAAAGTTGGAAAGATTAGATTCTTTAAAACATATTTATTATTGCAGAATGCCGGGGAAAAAATGCTAAAAATCGATCATATTTTTCAAACACGTTCCAACATTCAATTCTCGATTTTTTTTTTCACAATTTACGTTCATGTTCTTAAAAAAACATCTTAAGAATGTATAAAAATTTGTTGGACTATTTCAGATGCGAATTGTGAGCTGTACAATTTCCGCAAATCGACACCGACGCTGAGGACACGCCAAGGGACACAGTGGATTACACCTCAGTTAATGCATGAAATAACTTGAAAAAATTACCAGAGATGTATGAAAATATGAATAAATTATTGTCAGAGTTGCGGAAATTTCCGTTTTTTCACAATAAAAAAAATCCAAAAAATCATCTAATTTTCGGTCTCCTAAAATGGTTGCCCGCTTTAAATATGCATATAGGTAATATTCTATGAAATACCATGACATTCCGGATTGCCGTGATTTTCACGGTAATTTTTAATGAAAAATTTTCTCCATATAGATTTCATATCATGAACAATATAAATAAATTTACAAATAGGTTATATTGCTTATAACAAATATTTACAAGTGGTACATTATTTTAATACTGGACGTACTCTGACTGCATGTACTCACGGATCGATTTGACCCTTTTATTTACTAGACAAAAAAATAAGCAGAGATAATCCACCATGTTTTGAGAAACCGTCGTATGTACATTCTCGTTTATTTGGATTATGTTTTAGAAAGTTAGACGTTGAAAAATTATATATTGGACAATATTATTATATTGGACCCTTCTTATCTCGTTAGCCATCGGTGCCGAGTATTCGCATTTCACGTATTTCCACGCGATTCGCTTGATTTAGATAACTCATGTCATGTCACGATCGGTAATTACGGTATTTACTACGTACCTAGCTCTTGGAATGATATCCTTCCTACAGGAATAAGGGGGAGGACCTAGAGGAGTCTCACTACCAACAGCATGAGACCTTTAGGATTGTACCACTCTGCGACCTGGAAGAAAGACCTATCTTTATAGTTCAGCTCTTCTCCTGTCATCTTGCTTAGCGGATCACGAGCCGTCGAATCAGTTTTGACACTAGGGAAAATAACAAGATCATACGACGAATGACGTACACTATTTTTCCTTTTCGTCCCATATTTCGCTCGCACACTGAAGAAAAATCAGAATTTTTACGAAAATGACAAAACAGATCAGTGAGGAGTATGGGTTTAGACTTAGGTAGCATATTAAATTTTCCTAATTATAGTAATTTCATCTTGAAAAATCGAAATATGTACTAAATATTCTCAACAGATCCCATTACATTCTGAGCACATTCTTTTGATATATCCAGAATACGAACAATCAGCATCTCCAAAGTACTCAGTCTCAATCCAGTGTTAGTCCTATGAAGGAACTCTCAAAGCTTTTGATACGTTCCAAAATTCACTACTAGTACTATGAGTTTCTCGATCTCGTCTCTGCGCTTTAACGCTCTGCGTAAACAGAGGTTTGCCTGCATACAATTGAGTAAGAGATAACCACGTTTGCAGAACTGACAGTGAAATTCGGGAAATGCCCAAAGTATGCCCAAGATTATATGTATTTAAAAGCGTATATAAAAGCCCCTATACCTAAATAAATACTCGTTCTAACTGTGTTTGAAACTATATGTCAATCGTATGTCGTAAGCGTATGGCTAGCTGATGCAAATGCATAAGTTCCGACAATTGTTGACATTATTACATTCTGCACCTATCAGAGCATATCTTCAGAATGTATCGAGTGTTCATTTGAAGCCAACGTACGATTATTTTCTGTATATGCCGAGAATATACTCGAATATATTTAGCATATGCTCACCACACACGTGCATCCAGTTTGAACATTCTGAAAACGGCCTAAGAATATAATTTTCCTATCTGAGAAGAGACTGATGACTTCAAATCGGTATTTCGCGTTCCTAATCATGAAAATAGTTAATAGATCGAATTTGACGAACATATTTTTCCTAAATATAGTTACCAATATATTCTATATCGTTTTGACATTACTTTTACAATGATTATTCGAAATCTAAAAATTGTCACATTGGAATTGATTTTCAGTTTTGAATTAATCATTGTGAAAGTCATATGGAACTAATTGTCAGGCTTTCGCAATTCGTCTGCCAATCCGCATAGTAGGAAAATATCTATTAAATTTGTGCAATTCCATTGATTTGTTGAGTAGAAATCCAAAATGGTGTCCGATTTCTCTAGGCTCTTAACTCGCGGTCGATCGCGCTACATCTGTTAAATGCAACCAAGCAAATGTAGGTCATAAACTCATCATCATTTACATCAAAACTTTCGTTAGTTATAATATTGCTCAAATGATTATTCACCAACACCTTCGTCTAAAAAAGTCTTATTTTACATCATTAGTTGCGTATGAAAAATATGATACGTGTAATTTTCACGCAGACAATAATATTTATAAATTTGAAACAGGGAATACCAGTTGGCTCCAATAAGTTGTATTAGTAACAATTTCTTTGACGTTATTCGACTTTCGAAACACATTATAGCACTTGTTTCTCACATTGACGTGAAACCCACAGCTTTAGTTTGAAAAACGGCTAAAGCTTCCTATAGTTTCTAATTTAATATTTTCAAGTAATTTTAGATAAATAAATATTTTCAACGGGATTATTTCTGATATTATTGTTACTATTTATCTCAAAAAATCCTCCGCAATGATTATAAAACGTAGCAGCACTGCGAGAGACATAAAACAGTGGAAAATACATATGTATCTAATAGATGTATGTACAGCACAACCGATAACGTTACAAACTGCTTTATGATCGACACTAACATAAGTTAAGAAACAGAAGATAATAAAATCGAGTCAATCCAAACTTTGAGGAATTTTATAAAATTAAAGTTCTAAATTACTGCATAGAAGCCAGACTCTTGTGATTTTTAAAGTTTTACAAAACTACAAATGTAAATCCCTTAGATGCAATGCTATCAGGATGGCAATGTCAACGCTAGCAGCAATTCATTAAAACAATCACAAATTAAAACTGCTATTGAAAGACGTTATCGTTCACTAAAACGAGATGACGTTCTCTGACATTACCGTTCATATGAATAAGGCGTGATATAACATATAATAAAAAAAAATTGGACAAGAAATGATGGAAACAAATTACAGCGTCTTGTTCTGTTCACCCTGCATTTGAAATCCAGGTCAATGATTAGAAACGTAGAACAGAATAGAAATACAAAAACACGAAGTTGCAAGAAGAATGACAAGAAGGACATTTAAACAAATCATAGCAAATAGATTTACTTAAAGCATAACTAAAAGAGCATGGCATTCGCACTTAAGAGAAAGATTAAAGTCATGCATACACTATTAGAAACGACCAATGCTGAGCAATTGCAAATTTTACTGTTTGATCTATATTATCCCTTAAACCCAAAAAGAGTTTTTAGTACTCTCAAACCCAAAATGTGGATTATTTTCGTCCGCCTCGTTTCTCACTAACTTAACGTATTGTATTAGGAAAATTTTATAAAAATTCATATATTAGCTTTGAACCATTTATTATAACACTATAGAAAAAATCTGTAATAATTTTTTGCACTATGTTTTTATTATATACGAAGTGGTGAATGGTTCTCAACCTGTTCCAAAAGTTCAAATCGAGTCGAACAAAAAAGACCCAGGTTTTGAGGTTAAGGGTTACAAATTTCATGTTTTCTATAAATTTTAATCCAATTGCTTCAATAATTCGTCTGAAATATTAGTTACAGAGATTCGTCCTCGTGCGCGCAGGCACAACTAGAAAAGCGCATTTTGCGTATTCGTGCAACTGTGCTTAAAAAGCGGATAAGTCAATTGATTTGTTCTAAATCCATATAAATTAGTAAGCCAACAATGTAATGTACAAGCGATATAACTATTCGTTAGCTAACAGTTATATGTATTTAGGCATGCAGGAAAATACTACAGGATATAAGAAGGTCAACAATTGTATGGCATAGAAATATTTCTCTTAACGGAAACCACAATCGTATAATAGTAAAAAAAAAACTACAAGCCGTGATAACTATATGGAAAATTCTTTCTGCCATCTTTTGCAACTGTTCGTAAACTGGTCGCATACAATAATTGTGAAAGCTCAACATTTCTCTATCGGAGTCCAAATTTTAAGCCTACGTTAAACTTTGAGGTTCTAATCGAAGCCTCTTTCGATTCTCTTCAATACTAACCTCTTGCTTTGAACCTATATGTCCTATCATTTTCAATTTTATCTCATTTTGAATTTCCATTTTATACTACAATCTCTTTTAATGTTCCATGTCCTACTAAAACGTCGAAAATTAATTAAAAAACTCGTTTATAAAATAATTTTTATACACGTACCTAGATAGTTATCATTTAACATTTGCTAAGTTCTCTTCTAATTTGATGAGTACATGACACAAAGTTATACATTTATTAAATCTAAAGGAGTTTAATTGTTAGCATTGTAAAAAATTTGTTATCGATCACTAAATTTACGAATAATTGAATAATTTTTTAATTGTCAATTATTTAATATTTTTGTATTTTTGAAACATCATAATATTGCGAAGAGGATTGTTAAACGTGATGGAGAGTTTATTTGAAAAATTTCCACGTCGATACTAACCTGATATCAACAAGAATAATGATCAATATTTTAACAAATAAATTAAAGCATATAGCAGTAAATCCGTACATAAAATTAATATAAATAGATCAATGATAAAAAGCTGATTTCATTTACATATAGGTATTAATTAACTAATTATCCCTAACTTCGTCATGTTCAGAGAAAGGGAATATCGTATACTAAGTAAGAAGACCTAATCGAGATAGACTGTATATGTTAGATGATCATCAAAGTTATGCAGCAGAAACGGAGTACAATACTTGGACGGTTGATCGTTTTATGTTACCATAAAGGAATTAATTCGGAATTATATGAAATTCGTTTTTTCTATTTTCCAGATTTAGGACCCGGTTCATGAGTTTTATTACAGACTTTGAATACCTACATAGCGCCTGAAAGTGGCAAGAATGGAAGTTTTAGCAATTGTTGGGCCCAATGTAGAAGGTTGAACCAAATGTAATTATACACGTAAAATAGGGGAGAGCGGAGGAACCGCACGCATCTAAAGAAGATCTGAAATTATTGAGTGAATATTCATCAAATTTATTAATTTAATAAACTTTTAGTTCTAATAATAAAGACTTACTTTCAGTTGTAGGCATATTTTTTGTAAACAAAAGCCAAGTGGGCCAACGGTTGCTAATTCTGAGAAAACCTCAACGTTGTCGAGCTACTCGGGCGTAGCGCAACGGTCGCTCATTGAAAGGGAGAGGGTGAAGACCAGACTACTCGTCGCTCACAATATTTACTTATATGGGACAAATAAATTTTCATTCGACATCTTAAATGCCTCAGTGGAAACTTATCTGTTCCCTATACTAATCCCTACACAATATAATTTGAAATATTTAATTTTTGTGACTTCGAGAAAGCTTGCCTACGTGTTAATATCCGTAAGCTAGGCTTAAGTTAGTTTTGTGATCTTAAAAATCATTTGTTATACAAAAACTTGTAATATATTATTAACCCCTTCACTGACAGGCCAAATTTTCAATCAGGTGCCATAAATGGCAAATATGTATAGTCAACGTGTGACGCATATGTGCCTTGCTGCCAGTGAAGGGGTTGAACAGGTATTCGATTTTCTAGTGTTAAATGTGTATTACTTTTTGTGAATCTTTTTGACAAAACTCTAAATGTGTGTCAATAAAAAATTATACTGATGATTTTAATCATAATTAAACTTATTACAGAAATTTTCCTCCGAAATAACGCTAGTTATGAGCCGTTCCTTATGAAGTTATAACATTGTACGAATCCCTGATTAGCATGATATCAACATTCCAGCATATCGACTTCACCATCGATAGAGATGCTGTTAGCAGATCGCCATTTTATACATTTAAGTTGGTCAAACCATAACCACATATAAAGTGGAAAACCGTTAGATTTTTTATTTTGAATGATCTAGCACGCAGATATTATGTCAACCAAGGATTCACACGACATCATAATAACTAACTCTTAGCCAGCGTTATTTCGCAAGAAAAGCCTTAGAAAAATTCCTGTAAAGAGTTTAAATATGAATAAAAACATCTGGAAATTTTTTTACTGATAACACATTATAGTTCCGTCAAAAAATAATTCACAAAAAAGTAACACATATTTAGCGCTAGAAAAACGAACATTTCCCTTAAACCGTTACGAATAACATAGAAGTAGTAATTCAATTAGCATAAATTAGAAAGTGTAGTTACAGAAAAATAATGCATGTGCTTGATAAAACTGCGATATTTCGTGATACAATTTACCTCGACATGTTTATTTTAATTACTCTCTAATTTCACTCTTATTTGTAGCAAATAAAGTGTCTAAGCAATTATTACGTTTCTGAAGCGTGTGTCATGCACGGTTTAGTTAAAGTGTTTTGTAAACCAATTCCTTCCTAACGTGACAATCGCTAAAGTTACCAAATATCGCCCTTCAGCCATCGACCTCTCGACTATTGATATAATATATCAACATATTTTTATCTTGACATGCAGTTTTCCATAATCAATCATTTTTAATCTAGATATCATTATTGTCAAGCTGAAATGATAGAGGATGTTGCAAATATATAATCTAATGATGGATTTAGGTCCATGATCCCCTTGAATAGATATTTAAAGACTGTAATTGATGCATTAAATGAAACTAAGATATTTCAACGACGAAGATTTTCCAAGACGAGCCAATGTTGACAAACTGAATATTATTTTAATGGTCAAAGATTTAGATTATTATTTTAATGTTGCTGTTATTCAATTTTCATCTTCAAAACTATTTATGTACAACAATTGTAAGCTTTATTCTACTGATTGCTGTTATACTTTTCAGGATGGAAGTAAATTTCATTCGAAAACTTTAAGTCAACCTAGATATCGTTTAGTTAAATTTTTGAGCTATAAAATTCAATAAATAATACCACGTTACTTACTTGGCGACTTAAAGAGTTATTGGCCGTAAAGTCTTATTTCGTAGGATTAATCATTCGTTAGCAGAATTTGGACGTTTAGAAATGTAGAACTGTTGCATCATATTATCAATTGAAATTCCCAACATATCTCGTGAATCTCGAATTTAACCTAATATTTCATTTAGAACATTTTTATTTTACAGAATAATAAAAATAATAATAATAATAATACTAATAACAAGAACAATGTAGATGATAGTAATAAGATTTAAATAAATAATAACCACAGAAATATATTGTATCCATAATCTTGAAGCGTATCGTGACAGGTGGATTGCGCCGTTGCTTTGTTGCCCCCTAATGAAGCGAATTCGGCACCGACGGTATTGTTTTTGCATCCTATGGTATCACCAACACGGCAACAATGGTGACGCCTATTTCGAAATTCTATGTGAGTATTTGCAACATCGTTGTATCTCGGTTATTGTTGTGTATAATTTATTGATAATTGAACAATGATTCTGAGTATTAGCAGCGAATGGCAAAGTATACTTGCTGGCTGACCATAGAATCGACAAAAAAGAAGCCTTTCGTGTCTCGAGGTTCAACTTCGTACGTCCAATATGTACATAAATTTTTTTTGTTATTGAGTACATTGCTTCCGCGATCACCGTGCGCACGCATTTACATGTAACGTTATTAAAATCGTTGCTTTTTGGTACGGTAGGGGTGGCGAACTCTTTCTCTTAATATTCATTTCGGTGATAATTTAGGATAAAAAGGACTAATGGTGGAATAGGAAAGACAGAGGAGTGTAAGTGGGTGAATAGAGAAAGCTTGATGACATCACAATAGTAAACAGTGGAATACATTCTTCTTTCTGTGTAAAAAAAAGCATTACTTATGCCTTCTATGCATCTAATTGTCGAATAGATTATATGTACCCACAAGAACACACGCGCACAAGTGCATTCTCGAGGTATATAAAACGGAAATTTGATTATCGTGTTATACGCAGAGACACAGAGTAAAGATCTAGACAAAAGAGAAGAGGGTCTGCGATACCCTGCACAACATTTCTTAAATTCTTCGACTTTCGCTTCCTTTATATCCTCATCACATGACCTATAGTAATCAACAGAAAATTTGTTTTTCGTGTTCCTTGAGTGTATCTCCACTCCTTTCTATTCGGTAACCCTTGAATACTTTCTCTGTTTAAAAAAAAAATTGAGTGAATAAGAGCCAATAAATGCCCGTGCAAGGAACGCATGTTGCTCAACAAAACATTACAAATATTACACAAGGCATATCAGAGCTTGTACAAACACCGTAAAAGTTATAGTCGCATGTAAAGTCATTAAAGAGCATGTATGTATACATATGCTATAGACATAGAGAACATACGTATATATATATATATATATATATATATATATAGTTTTGTAGTGTGTACGAGTAGTGTGTATGCATATACATACTTATGTTATTTTCCCACAGAGAAAAAGACTAATAGATAGAAACAGAGGCCAAGCAACACCGTACGAGGATATTATTTGGTACCTTGGCACTTCATGCCCTGGTGGATGACACCATAAAGAAGGCTACCGCAATGGTCGCAGAATGTAGGGCTGTTGTAGGTATGCTGCTTGAATTGATGCTTCGTCCGAGTGTCCTGCGTTAGGTCACCATTACATCGTGCACACCGACATTACCATTCAAATAATATTAGCCACTTTAGGGATAAAGATTCTAATAGGAATTGGAGGTTCTTTGGAGCGTGGTTCACTGGACCGGACTCACGAATTTACCACCCCCGCCTACGTTACTGTTAGTCTTTTTCCAAACCCAAAATTTAGCATAAGATGGAAGTCTGTTGTCTAATAGCTGATAGTTGCTCACAGTAGCTTGAAAGTATTAGGACACCATGTCATTTAATTTTGGTCGGTATTATTCTCATTTAGATGTCGCGTATTCGGTTACAACAATTGAAATTCACAAAAGCCAATGCGAATTGTTGCTCCTGGTAACAAAATAACAACCACTCTCAGATTGATCCTTCCAAAATGCTAACCCAAATCGTTCGTTCTGGTCAAAAAGCGATAAAGCATCATAAGCTATCTCGTTATCCCGTAAGCATGAGCCCGGAGGCATAATTCAATTGCTATCTTACGTTAAAAACTTATTAGTGGTAACGAGGTCGTTTATTAGTGATGATCCTCGACCAAATTTTGATAAGCTCTATCCTCAAACAACACACTCTTACTCAGCCTATGTCTCCGTCGAATTGTAATGCGGCATTGTTTTGCGGAGCTCAATAATTTTTTCATTAGTCTCATAATATATGACATTTGCGTATTATCGGGCACACCACACGATGAGCACGTGAAAGTAATTCTCTTAAATTTCACCTCTAGTAGATTTTTGTAGGGCTTTCATCAACGCGTTGCAATTTATTTCAATCGACCAAATATTTCTTAGAACCAGCTTCTCTACTAGAGCTTTTCCAACACGTATAAATCAGTGAAAATCATCGAGTAAGTTGTATGCAGCGTCACAAATATCACGCACATGTGACCCACTGAAACACTAGGGCATAAAAAAGCTCCCCGTTCCTTGTATGTTCATCTTTTAAAAATTCTCTGAAATGATTCATCTACATTTTACCAGCGTCGTGCAATATATTTGCTCTCTTTCACACCCTACGTCTACCTCCACGACCACCTCACACTCACGACCGAATTAAAGTCCAGCAGGCACATCATATTACATAAATGAAATAGAAATTCAGCATCAGAACAATGATTTTCTGTAGCTATTCCGTTAACATTTAACAGCCCTAATTGGCTCTAAAATGAATTTTACAATCTGGAAAATGATTGAACCATGGTCAAAACTTACATCAGAGTCAGCACCCTTGTCAGCTCCAGGGCATGTGAATGTAACGTATTCGTGGCATCTCTTGTGTACGACGAAGCTGCATACTGGAACACAATTGCGAAATTTTGTCATTTGAAATTTAGTGAGACAGCTCTCTCATTTCTAGAGTTCCTGCATTATTCACTGACTGTGAAGGATATTATCCTCACTATTACTTTCGAATAATCATTTACCTTGACATTGGTAGCCCTGCTTCCCGAAACCCCTGAAACAGAAAAAGTTTAAAGTAAGAAGACGCATAACCAAATTATTCAACATGTAATCGTGAAAAAATGAAGTTCCATTTACGAAAAATCGAAGTAGTATAGCTCAGCGATATATAGGTATATCCTGAGCAACAATCGAATTTCCTTCCTTCTTATGCTCAAACGATAAATCAAAGAGAAGAACAGGATGGGTGACTTTCAAATGTATTTTTAAGAAGGTAATTCTGCGTAGCAGCGCCCTTTCTTTATATTCCTAAACAAAGTCATCAGCTGGAATTGTGATCAAATTAGTGTCCGTAAGAGTGAAGTTTGGTTTTTTAAATAATGAATTTCTTATTTGTTTTCATGGACTCTTGTAGATAGCCGAAAATAGAGTTTGGAAATTTTCGACGAAATATATGCATAACGGCGCCAATTCGCCTCGGAAACGGATCATGGCACGAAGCATAATGTACTTTACATTGTACAAAGAGGAATTACGTATAAAAAAAGAACGAGAAGCCATACGGGGACTAATGCAGCAGATCTGTACTCCTTTTTTTATGCCGGTACTTACGAGACACGTACGACTGAGCGGAAGAACGAACAGAACGAAAGCGGTGGCTACATAGATAAATGGAGAACAAGAAAAGAGCTCGAAGGGGTGGAAGGCAGATAGTAGTGCAAATCTCTGATTAGCCTACATTGCTCGGCAGCTTAAGAGATCCACGAAGTATTGTCTGCGTCAGCGTAAGTTGCAACCAACTGAGAATTAAAGAACAAACAGGGCAGTTTTATTTGACAGCATGATACCGCGTTTTATAAATATTTATCATCTCATTACTTTGGTTCGAGATCTTCAGACGGATATATGTATATATATATATATTTATTTATTTACTTATTTATTTATTCATTTATTTATTTATTTATTTATTTATTTATTTATTTATTTATTTATTTATTTATTTATTTATTTATTTATTTATTTATTTATTTATTTATTTATTTATTTATTTATTTATTTATTTATTTATTTATTTATTTATTTATTTATTTATTTATTTATTTATTTATTTATTTATTTATTTATTTATTTATTTATTTATTTATTTATTTATTTATTTATTTATTTATTTATTTATTTATTTATTTATTTATTTATTTATTTATTTATTTATTTATTTATTTATTTATTTATTTATTTATTTATTTATTTATTTATTTATTTAGAGAGAGAGAGAGAGAGAGAGAGAGAGAGAGACAGTGTCCTACGAGATTGGTCATTAGGCCCAGCTTAATCTCTAACTGAGGTCATGGCTTACGGGGTCGTAACCCGTAGCCTAGATGTAACGCGTCTCTGCGCGACGAAAGCCTTTGTTTCAGCTAATTAAGTTAACCTACTTTGTATCGATTTCTGAGTCGATGTGTCGCAAAACGAAAACTTGGAAAATAGGATCGAAGAACGAGTCGAGCTTACTAGTTCGTCTGCCTTGGTCGACGGATTCTTCATCTACTGGGGACATGCTTCATCGCAATCACTTCAAATTAAGTTTCTTAGCTCTTTAAATACCTATTCTGACCTTGAGCTTAGGCAACGCATAATTGATATTCCATCATAATTATCCAGCGAATATGCATTTATCTCTTTTATCAACTTATACGCCCTGTACCATACCTCACACGTTACATGGAAAACTAATATAGAGCAAGTCAGCGCATGCATAACATTGGTGCTAGTTAATGTGTATGAAATAAGCAGATTATGAATCCAATATCACAGTAGTGCTCGACGTGTGCTATTTCTAATATACAAGGAAATACGTGCTTCAGCGTAATACATTCTTCAGGTCACAATCAGAAGATAATTAGTGTTAAACTTGGCATTTTTCAACGTATACGCGCGCAGCTGACGATAGATGTGCTAGCGCACCCACATCAGTGTTGCTCATTGATGACCTAGCGATCTCGTATTTTTCGTGCTCATGAGCTACGCTGGCCCACGAATGAACATCTTTGACTGGATCAGCATGTAGCCGTAAACCGGTAAGTTACTTTCGGAATTCGAACTAAAAAATTAATTATGCTAAAAAATGTATTTCTTAATTTTTCCCGTAGAATTCAACCATGTTATTCGTTTGTGCCATTTTTGGAACACTGTATACAGCACAAATACATCCGATGAGAAAAAATCATAAATTTACATTTTGACACGTCATCATTCAGTTTGAGTATCGGCAGACAAGCTCAACAAGATATAGACGAGGAAAATTGATCAATATTCTTTATTGTCCGTAAGTAGGTATGGCTAGCGGGCTTCAGAAAACCTATATAAATGTATATAACACGAACATGAAGACAGCAAAGTTTAGTGTTCTCATTGAATGCCATCCCAGATAGCATTCAATTCAAGAAGAATTCTATCAGACATCTGTCTCTAGAGCTCTTTAAAACTTCGACATTAAAGTCGTTTAGGCATCTTATAAGCACCGTGCATAGACTATGCCAGCGCGACTTGTGCCAGGAATTGGAATCAATGTCGCGACTTTGCCATGCTTCATAAATTTCAATCTTAAACATCAATTCACAAATAACAGCAAACAATGTAATCAATTAGCACCCCTTTAATTTGCAATCTCAGTACCAGATGGCGCGTCAGTCTCTATACACGGTACCTATAGAGATTCTTATGAAATGACATTTGTTAGCTAGTTACGTAAGAAATCTTTTATTCTTTTTTCTGATGTTTCATAGATGTCTGACGCATCCTATGCACCTCTGTGTTATCTGGAATGTTATGAATCGACGTTGTTGCAAATGAAAATCCATGAATTGAAGAACAAAAATATAACATACAATCAGTACAAGCAAAGCTGATAATAAAGTAAAATGATAGTTTGAAATATATAATACTTATAATTCATATCACTAACAGGCCTGAATTAAGAATATTCTGCCATTTCATAATGTCTTGAGATGATTTCTCGATAGTGGATATGGCATCCTGTGCATTATTTCGTTTAATTAAATAATAATTGCCAAAAACGTATGTTCCAAGTGACCATATTTGTTTTATACTCGCTATCGCTTCAGCATAAGTCTGTAATAATTATCTTATCCAAATGAGTTAGCTTTAACACAATTCACATACCTGATACTATAGTTCAATATACAATGTATTATTTTTTTTTTATATTATCGACAAATATAAGGAAGTCAAACAAGACTCCTTATTTATGATTATTTTTAACATTCTAAATATTGTAAAAGTTGGTGTTTTCTATAACTTCCCTTTTTAAGTAATGAATACTTCAATATTCAATTTCCAGATACCAGACACCCTTCGTACATTATGATTTCAAAAGACGTCATTTTGCTCTCTAACAAACATTTATTTAAAACCTGTACAAATGTTATGAGGATGCATGAAGTCAGTTTTGCAACTTGCCGTAGCTGCTAGTTCTACTATACTACAGTAGTAACGTTGCTAGAGTTGAGTTAGATAAAATCGGTAAACAATCCAACAGGCGGTTCTGTTGGCAGTACGCCAGATTTTACGTTATATACTGTAACTAATTTGTAACGAATATTATTTACAACTGTCAAGACTGGTAAAGTAGCAATTTCCTCATATGACGATTTTAGCCACTTAACTCTAGAGTGAATCAGGGTTCGGAACGATAAAGGGATATTTCTGTTACAGTAATAATAAAACGTTCTTTCGGGTTAACCTTTCTCATTTATTATAATTCAGGTATCTATTCTTCTCTCGCGTTTCTGTCGGGTATATCAAAAGTCGATGTTTTCAAAGTGTTGGGAATGGCTTGATGTTACGGAAGCCAACACTTCGGGCTACGGATGACTCGAATAGCGAGAGCGAACATTCTTTGCTAATTTCCAGAGTAGCTAACGCTGCGCTACTGCATTCTGCGCTCAGACGGAGGCTGAATTGGTTGCTGTAATGGGAAAAAAAAACCACAGAGTTCTCGACGGACGGTATGGTCTAAAAGAGAATGCTTCTCTCGCATATGAGAGGATGCAGAATAGAAAATTTACAGGATATAATATCCTTCAGGATATGTATGTATAATGCCAGGTTGTTCAAGATAACGTTAGAATCACATTAAAGCGTGCTGAATCCAAAAAAAAAACCATAACATCGAAACAATAACTATTCCCATGGTCCTTCGATTCTGCTTGAGGGTACAGTGGCCACCTGGTGGCGGGGCAGTGAAGTAGTGCTCGCTCGTGCTTCTCGCATACTTGTGTGTTGCTTAGGGACTCTTGTCACAAATTAGCCGACTGGGATTGATTTTCCTCGGAATTTTCTTTAAACGTTTTTAGAACATTTTTATTATCTTGACACTATTGCTTTCTCCCCTTAGAAATTCCTATAAGCGAGAACGACAATCTCTGCGAAATTAAGAAGTAATTGCTGTAATTGCCGCGCTATTATTTGAGGGAAACTTATATACGCTAAATTTTCTATTATTGTATTGAAGATCAGCCAGGATCCTGTAGAGAGGCGTCTTGTATCGATTAATAAAGTGTTATACAGCATTCATTGATAAAGATTTTTCATTTTCTTGATTTGTGCATCTATTTAGACTTTCATAAATTACTTGAATAAAATGATCAAATGATACGATAATGAATTTCACCTACTCTAACTCTGATTTGGGATAGACAATTTGTATAAAGTAATACAATATAAAATCTATCAAATTTTCGGTAATCACTTGCATCAACTTAATTCCGCACATTATTGTGACTGCTATACAAATCTATCTGGGTATAGTGACCTTATTTGTAAGCAACTTCTCCGTATCCTTTATATTTTTTATTAAAGTATAATATATAGAATTATAAGGTTAAATAATTTCATTCTTTTATAAATGATACCATCCCCGGAACATTGCACATCGTATTTTTCAGAAATGGTATCCCAAATCCTACGTGCATTTTCCATGAAATTTCATATTTGATATTCAGATGGTAGGAATGAGGAATTACAAACGAA